AAAAAACTAAAAACTCATTAACCAGAATGGTGGTGGCTTTGTTGAAAAGGTGGTCGTCGGTTGCCAGGACAGAGTATGCGGGTTCGGTTCCCCAGGGACCTGCGGGCTTTTTTTTTCACTCCCCTCCTCCCACTTCTAATCCTCCTCCTCCTCCTGTCTGCAGGCATTTAAGCATCATTTTTTTTTTTTTTAAGGTAAAAATTAGTAGTAAAAATTATTTTTTTTGTAAGGGGAGATTGATTATTTATTTTTGAAATCAAACTAATTAATATCATTAACGTGTCATTAGAAAACTAAATTGAAAATTTTTGTTTTTGTTATTGTCGTCGTCGTCGTCGTCTGCTATTTAAGAAAAAAAAAAAAATGAAACATGTCGAAACTCCGTTTTGGACAATTAAAAAAAAAAAGTAAAGAAATTGTTAATAATAATGATAATAATAATGATTATTTAAACAGACGATAAAAGTTCTCGAATTTCGCTAAAGAAAAATATTCTTGTATAAATACTACTCTTATATATATATATATATTTCTAGAACCGTCACTGATTATAAAAGAAAGATAGAAAGAGAGAGAGAGAGAGAAAGAGAGTGAGAGAGAGAGAAAGAAAGAGATTCGCATTTACCGTTTTCAGGAAAAAGAAGTCTTGAACATAAAGAAAGGGTGTCTTAGCCACCCCATCATCCCCCCGATCGGGGGTCTACTTAGAAACCCTCCTCTGTCTCGTCACTTTTGTCTAAAAGGGTTCTTCTTCTTCTTCTTTTTCTTTTTCTTCTACAAATAACAAAACTATTTTTCTCTTCTTTTATATCTTTTCACTCTGTCTTTTCTGCCTTTTCTTTTTTCCTTTTCCTCCCTCCCTTCCTCTCGTCTCTCCCCTTCTCTTCTCTTCTCCGTGAGGAATCCCTCCTCCGGGCTCTTCGTTTCCCACCACTTCCACACAAGAGTTCTTCTTCTTCCCTTTCTCTCTCTTTCTCCTTTTTTTTTCATTCTTTTTTTTTCCTCTTTTTTTTTTTTTCCTTTCCTTTCCTTGAACGTAAGAATAGAAAAAGGCGGATTTTGATGGATGTTGTTAGATGCGGTTCCTCATTTTGTTTTGCATCGGTTTGCTGTTTCCTACTTTTTTCCTTTTTTTTTTCCTTTCTTTCTTTTCTTCAATTTATTGTCTAATTTGAAATTCTTTTTTCGTTTTCTCCAGGATGGTTTTTCCTCCGTTTTAAATGTTTCGTGCATGACTTATATTTTTTTTTTAATTAATTTAGGTCACATGAAGGGAATGAGTTAACGGTTAGACTTATTTTTAAAAAAAGAAAATCTCTTCTATTGAGAATGATAATAATAATGATGATGATGATGATCACGTTGTAAAAGATTAAATTGCTTTGAATTTATTAAACGGCGTAAGTTTAAGAGTCGGAAAAAAAATAAATCGATGAAAGGTTACAACTGAACGTACTGGACGACGAATGAAATGAATTCCTGGATCAAATAAAAAAAAAAAAATTTTTTTCTTCTTCTCTCTCTCTCTCTCTCTCTCTTTTTATTAAAAAGGAAGAAAGAAAAGAATCTGTTTTTGTCATAGACTTTGATTATTAATTATTTTCTTCAAATATTTTTTTTTTTTTTTTAAAGAAAATAGTAGTGAATTTAAGTAAGAAAAAAAAAAGGGAGGAAGAAGAAGAAAAAGAAGGAAAAAGAGGAAGAGAGAGAGAAAAAAAACAACAACAAAAACTCCCGCTCGATTAATTTTCTAGAAAATATATATATAAGAAAGAAAAAGAGAAAAAAAGAGAGAGAGAGAGAGAGAGAGAGAGAGAAAAAAGGTTTTTTTCCGTTCTGGAAACTTTATTGATTACACATCCTGGTTATCGCTTAGCCGTGGGTATAGTTCATCCTAGAGAATAGAATTTCTACGAAGGGTGTGCTCCTTTTTTTTTTTCCTCTTTCCAAAAAAGAAAAAGATTTCACGTTTTTATCTCCCTCTCTCTCTCTCACCTCACCTCATCTCATCTCATCTCTTTCCCTCCCCTTCCCCATTCTCTCTCCATTCTTTTTCCATCATCGTAGTTCCTCTTCCTCGTTTTTCACATTTCTTTTTCTCTCCGGACACACAGATGAAGAAAATGAAAAAAAAAAAAAAATGGAATAAAGGAAGGCGGTGGAAAATGAAAAGGGAGTAAGGGAAAAGGGAGTAAGGGAAAAGGGAGTAGAGATAGAGATAGAAAAAAAAAAAAAAAATGAGACGGACGGACGAGGCAAGCCTTGAGGGAGATGAAAGTGAGGAGGCAAGCAGGGAGGGAGGGAAGCAAGCAAGCAGGGAGGCAGGGAGGGAAACAGGCAGGCAGGGGGCGTAGTATGGTTGTTATCAGCCCTGGGGATAAGAGGGATCCTCCCTCAAATCTTTTCAGTCTGAACCCGCATGAAGCTTATTCCTTTTGCACCTGTATATATATATACGCTGTAACCAAGCAACAATAACTAACTCCTTGTGTCCGTTAATAATGATGATAATGGAAAATAATTCGTTTGACATTATCATCATCATCATCATCCCTATCATCATTATCATCATTATCATTAATAATAATAATTTTTTCAAAACGAAATTTAATTAAAAACCTTTAAAGAGAATGTGACGAGATATTAACTCGAATCGTTTGTTAATTTCTTTTTCCCCTCTCTCCCCCCTCTAAAAATAAATTTATTTGTCGCAAATTTTCCCGAAAAAAAAATCATAAGAAAGCAAATCAATTATCATTATTATTATTATTCTAATCGGATGTACTCGTTTAAAGAAAAAGGGGGAGAAAAAAAATTATGTGGCTCTGGAAAAAAAAAGGGAAAAAAGGGGAGAGAGAGAGAGAGAAAAGGAAAAAGTTAATTAGAAAAATTAAAATTGTTTTAATGAAAAGAATTAAAAGAAAAAAGAAGGGGGAGGGGGGAGAGAAAAATAAAAGTCGTATATATATATTTATATTATATATTAATATATAATATATATATATATATATAAGGAACGGGTAGATGTAAAACAACCTGTTGCTTATATTAAAATATTGTTTTAAATATAGTTTATATTTAAATTAGTCGATCATTATATCGTGTTCGAGATTAAATCTTTTTTTTTCTCTCTCTCTCTCTCTCTTTCTCTCCCCTTTTTTTTCGCAACATTTTATTTGTTGTTCTCTTAACGTTTTATTTTTTTAATTGTTTGTTTGTTTGTATAAGACAACCAAGAGATCGATAAATTTTTTTTCCTATTTTTCGGAGAAACTCCTTTCGAGATTTTTTTTTTTTTCGTATTATTTCCGGTAAAACTCGATTTAAATTTTTTTTAAAATCATTAAGACGACGACGATGGTGATAATAATAATAATAATATATAAAATGGCGTTTTTTTTTTCGTCAACTTTCAAACACACACGAAATATTTAAATTTTTATAAAAAAAAAAAAAGCTGTTAGCACCTTTTTTAGTTATTTCGGGTTTTTTTCTTTTTGAATTTATGCGTGCCATTAACCACCGGTCGATTATTATTATTATTATTATTATTTGGTCGTGTCGGATGGTGACGTGGACGTCACCATCGTGTCAAACGCGTTTTTTTTTTCGTTCGGATAAAAAAAAAAACTGTGGGTCGAAATGGTGGATCGTTTGGTTGGTTTTTTTTTCTCTCTCGAGTTCCCACTGGGCGTAATTCACGTTTCGTATATCCAAAATCGGTCACGTAATAATTTTTTACTTATTTCATTAGCCCCCAAACAACAAACAACAAACAACAACAACACCTTGCGTCGTATTATTCGTTTATTGTTATTTATTTGTTTAATAATTTTTTTTTTTTTTTTGGTGTTTCATTACAAAACGTTGTCGTCGTTGTCGTTGTCGTGTTTGTTGTTGTTGTTGTTGTTGTCGTGAATCTTTTTTTTTTTTTTGCATTCGAAAAAAAAAAAAAAGAAAACACCTACGGTTCGTAAATGTGTTTATAACCTGCGGTGGTTATAAGAGCGCGGAGGGCGTCACGGATGAGAAAATACGTCTGTTCGTGTTATTATTATTATTATCATTATTTTTTTTTTCCACTATCCCAAACTGTCATTGAGTTTCCCAAAGCGGCGTTGCCCGTTTTAAAAAAAAAAAAAAAAAATGATCAAAATCGTTACGTGACATTTTTTTTTTTTTTAACGACATTATTTTAATATGTATATATATAAAATTCATGGAATTAATGTGTTACTTCTTCTTATGTAGACATCATCATCATTATCATCATCATCGAATATATATAATTCGAAGACGAAGAAGAGGAGTTTGGTTGTTTTTTTTTTTTACACGACCACCTTGGCTTTGAGTAAACTTAAAATGGTTGCAACATTTTAGCTATAATATCTCGTGGGTGGCGTGTTTGATTAAGCCTGAATGCCCGCAATGGAGCAGGACGACGATGTTCCTAAAGCCCATCCTCTTCGTATAGGCTCCCTGCCCATAATAAGACATTTTGTCCGTCCGCCTTCGCCTTCTATTATAGAAGTTTACCTCTTTAGAGGTCACACGTTGAATTCAATTTTTTTTTTTCTTTTTTCTTCCAAAAGTATAAATCAAAGTGTTTGTTTGTTTGTTTGTTCGAAACAAAAAATTAAATCCTTTTATTTTATTATCATTATTATTTTTCATTCGCACGTTATTGTATAAAGGAAAACAAAAAGAAAAAGGTAAAATGGCGTCAGAAAGAAAAGGATAAGTTAAACATAACACACGTGTTTAAAAGGAATTTATACAATTTACATACGCGAACCACCTGTGGCTTCATGCGTAAAAAAAAAAAAAAAAAGCTGGAAATGAAACAAAAAAAAAAAAAAAAAAATCTCGAACAAATCGATATTCGCGATTACGCATATAAAAATCGATGCAATGGGCCAAGGTGGGCAACTTAATTACAATAAATATAAAAAAAGAGAGAAAGAGAGAGAGTGAGAGAGAGAGAAAAGGGAAATTTATGTATGCACGGATCCTCCGTCGTACCGTAAATTTTTTTTTTTTTTGGGTTTGCGTGAACCCATCTTCTGCTTTTTTTTTTTTTTTACTATCGGCTGTTGTCGTTACCCGATCACCTATTATTCTCCTCGTCAAAATTTTATTGTAAATAAAATAAACATTTTAAGGAAATAATAATTACAGGAGGAAATAACATCGGCGGCAGAAACTGACGGCCCTGATGAAGAACCACCGAGGAGAGCAAAAGAAGCGGAAAAACTTAAAATGATGCTGTTGGCTTGGTCAGGTAATTATCATCATCATCATAATCATCGTCATCGTACGAATGGTAAATAATTATTATTATTATTTTTTTTTTTCATAAGGTGGTAGAAATGGTGAAATACTACCAGATGATGTACAGGACGAAGCGAGCCAAATTTGGGCTGGTTACCATAATGCGCTTTCGTTGTCCAAGCAAACTCCACCGATCCGATCGGTGAGTTAATTATCATTATTATTATTATTATTATCATTATCAATCATCATTATTATTCGTATGAAAAAATAAAATTTGGTAGGAAATATCATAAGAAAGGAAAAATTTGGACATTTGGATGGAGAACCTAAAAATCTCTTTTGGCAGCTCCCAGTTAAAACCACGCCCTTATTCTCAATTTACAGGGATTCAAAAAAAAAAAAAAAAAGATCTCTCTATCCCTCTCCATCCCTCTCTCTCTCTCTTTCCTTTTCCTCTTTCTTTTTAAGGAGAAAAAAGGATTTAGATCTTCTTCTTCTTCTACTTCAACATTTTTCATTCTTTTCTTAATTTCATCGTCGTCGTGGATTTAAAAGAAAAAAAAAAAAAAAAATTTTTTTTTTTTTTTTGTTTAGAGTCCCACTCAGGAAACCGGATCGGTCCATGACGAGACTTCGTCATCAGGTAACAAAGACGATGATGACGATGAAGAAGAAGAATGTGAAGAAAAGATTGACCCGCTGAAATATGATCCGGAGAGATTGAAAGCGTTCAATGTAAATATTAAATTTTTTTTTTTTTTTGGGATCATCCGTTATTATTATTATTATTATTATTATTATTATTATTATTATTATTATTATTTCGTCGAAATTGTCAGTTAAAAGTGGAATCAGAAAAGAAGAAAATAAAAAATCGATTATTATTTTCAGATGTTTGTGAGATTATTTGTAGATGAAAATTTAGACAGAATCGTACCGATCTCGAAACAACCAAAGGAAAAAATTCAAGCCATTATAGATAGTTGTACGAGACAATTTCCGGAATTCAGCGAGAGAGCACGTAAAAGAATTCGTACATATTTAAAATCGTGTAGGAGGAACAAGAGGACAAGGGAAGGAAACGCAGCATGGGAGCCGGTAAGGGTGTGTACGAATTTTAAAAGAAAAAGTTGGGGGAAATTATCATCATTATTATATTATTATTATTATTTAATTTGTATTTTCCCTGGAAATAAATCATCAGAGTCGTCCGACGCCAGCACATTTGACATCCGTACAAGCCGAACAAATATTAGCCCAAGCCTGCGAAAATGAATCTCATAACGCAAAAAGAATGAGACTGGGACTCGAGCCTGTGACGCAACCCATGCCGGGAATAACGACGGACACGAGTACCACGGTAAGAAGTTTGACGAACAACGAGGGAACAACAACAAGGGAAAGGGACCATTACACTTCTCCGGTCAGTAGTACCAACACCGTTGAAAAACACAACATAAAACACGAGCCAAACAGCGGATCGGTATCGCCAACTGTACAAAATAAAACTTGCTCTCTCGAAGCTCTCGCGATCGCGAGTGCAAATAATTTAAGGTAATTAATTTGATTAAACTCCCTTCCCCACCCCCACCATATTGAATTTAAAAAAAAAATCTTTTTGTTGTTGTTCGGAAAATTTCAGTCCAAATTTATTAAACGGGTCAGCTCCTCCTGCTTCAGTGGCAGCAGCAGTTGCGGCAGCTGCAGCAGCACCAACGGCAATGTACCGACCAAATTTTTCACAAGCATTTCAAAAAGCAGGAACGGGTGGCGGTGGTGGTACTACCACTTACACAACACCCGGATTATTTTCATTGCCGTGTTCTCTTACAAACGGTACTAGTAAGTTACATAAATTTTTTTTTTTTTTTCTTTCGACGCCATCATCATCATCATCATGTTATCTTATGAAATTATTATTATTATTTTTTTTTTTTCTAGGACCCACGGATTTAAGCATGAAAAATAAACCTCTTTTAACTCATAAATTGAATCCAGCAGAAATGACTGCCGTAAGACAGTTGATAACCGGATACAGGGAAAGTGCAGCGTTTCTATTAAGATCCGCTGACGAACTTGAACAATTGCTTAGAAATCAGTAAATCTTCATTTTCTCCCCCCCCCCTTTTTTTTTTTTTTTTTTTTTTTTTTTTTTAAACGGGAGTATTTTCCGGAAAAAAAAAACCCCGCGATATCGATAATGATAATAATAATAATATTTTTTTTAAATTTCCCGAAACCAAAGGGGAAAAAAAAATAATAATAATAAAATGCTTTTGTAAAAGAAGCAAAACGACTCCTCGGAAAAAAAAAAAAAATGTTTTAATCGAAGAAGGACGACATTTTGTTTTTTTTTTTTATTTTCTATTATTATTATTATTAATTTTCTCCAAAAAAAAAAAAAAAAAAAAAAAGGAAAAAAAAAAATTCTAACGGCCGTGCTACTTAATAATAATATTTAAAAAAAAAAAAATTCGTTTTTTTAGTTTGAGAAAGAGGAAGAAGAAGAAGAAGAAAATTTTTTAATTTTTCCTTTTAAAAAAAAAAAAGAGAAAAAATTTTTTTTATGTTAACAAGGAGGTAGAAAAAGAAAGAAAAGTTTTTATTATATAAAAATACGGGTATCATTTACCTCTTTCGATTTCTTTTTTTTTTTTTTTTTTTTACTTTTGCATTTTTTTAAATTTTTAGAAAATAATAATTCCAGAAGTAAAATTTTAAATTTTTGATTTTTTTATCTATCTTGATTTTATACATTTATTTAATATTATTATTATTATTATCATTATTATAATTTTTACAAAGGGTGGTTTGTAAGAACAATCGAGAAGTTATTTCATCTGATATTTTAAAACAACCAAATAAAAAATATATAAATAATAAATGTTGAGGTTCCTTCGAATATATATATATATATTTATATATATGTTCAAACTTTTTTGTAAAAACGTTTTAAATATTGTTATAATTAATTAAATAATATTTTAGAGTTAAAAAGAAAAAATGGGAAAAACTCTTCGATAGTAAATAAATCTTTTGTTTTCTTTTTTTTTTTTTTTTTTAAAATTTAGAAAAAAAAAAAATTTTCGATAAGTTAAACCTAGAATTTAATATTATTATTATTATTATTATCATTATTAAATAATCTAACATTCGAAGAAAATATTAATTTAATTTTTAAAAAAATATCCCCCCTCCTTTAATTTTTTTCAAATTTTTATGCCTGAACACATACACACTCGAATACACACAAACTATTTTGGGAAAATTGGGAAAATTTTCTTTAATTTAAATTTTTTTAAAGAATTGTTCTTATTAGACATTTAATGTTATTTAAAATGAAAGTTTTTTTTTTTTTTTGAAATATTATCATTATTATTATTATTATTATTGTGCTTTTTATTTGTAACTTATTTAAATAAATATATATATATATATTAATTGTACCGTAATGAACGGAAAAAAAAAAAAAAATTCTTTCTTTAATAAAGTATGAAATATTGATTGTAGCAAGTATAATAATGAAATCGATTATTGATTTTAATTTTTTTAAAAACTATCACACAAATTATAAAGTTGTCGATTAGAAATAGGAAATTTTTCAATAATTTAAAAAAGAAAACTTCATCGAATATAAATTAAAAGATTAATAAAAAAATTTTATATATATATATGTATCAATATATTGAATGAAATTTACATAATTTTTTCCTACTAAGAATTATTATTAATAATTTTTTTGTAAACTAAAGGTTTTTACTTATGGATAGAATAAATTAATTAATGGTGAGAATGACCATCATCGCCATAATAATAATTGTAAAAAGCTTTTTCAGCGAATGTTGTGATGACAGCTGCGATAAGACCATATTTAAAACCTCTAAAAAGGGGATAAGTAAAACTTTTCGGTTGTTTGGGATTATTGAGAAATTCTGTATATACCCAAACATGATTTCTAAAACATAAAAGGAAAACAAACAAAATTAGAGAAAGTCTAAAGACTTTTTTTTGAATAAATTTCTATCAAAGAGTTATTAAAAATTTTGTGAGTAAACTTTTTTTTTTTTTGATAAATGTATTAAATTATTGGAGAATATCGTGAAAAGATGGAGTATTATTGTCTGATGAGAAAAGTGTTTTACGAATGGTAATTAAAAGAGATTTTTTTTCATGCTGGCATTTTAACATAAATGATGATGTAAAAAAATTTAATAAAATAATAATAAATACCTTGCCCATGGATCCTTTAAATTTTGACCTGCTAATGCTTTTCTAACTGCGACCAATTGAGGAACATCATCAACTTTGTAAATTCTCCAATCTGGTACTGGAGGTAGTTTTTGCTCATGATGATGACCTCCCATTTCTAAAAACAAAAAAAAAAAACTTAATTTCTTTGTGATAACAAAAAAAAATGGCAAAATAAATCCATATGTGCATCTGCAAATAAAATTTTTTTTTTTTTGTAAAGTAAATTAATTAATAAAAATAAAACGCATATAAAATCAATTTTTCATAGTCATTCTATTTTTTTTTTAGAAGGATAAATAATACACTTTTGTTATTTAACCATTTTTTTAAGAAATGACAATAAATGTAAGATGAAAAACTAAATTAAAGGTATTAAAACAGTGTCCTTAATAAGGTTTTTTTTTTTTTTTACAAAAAGGTACCTTTTAAATCACAAATTTAATAATTGAAATACTTCGAATTCTTATAGTTTTTACATAAATAATTTACCTTAGTTTTAAGATTTTAAATAATTAATAATAATAACTAAAAAAAACTTTAAATAATAATAAAAAAATATAATTACTTTTTATATTAAAATTTAATATCTATATTTGTGTGATTTTTTCTTCCACCACGACGTGTCATTAGAAATGGTTTAAAATAGAATCGGTTCTCTAAAAGTGGGAATAAAATAAATATGATTCCTAAAAAACTTTTTATTTATTACTTTAAAAAAAAAGAAACGTTTTGTGAAACAAATTAGTAATAAAATGTTTATTCACTTACATAATGTATAATAATTCAAATATATATTCAATGTTTTATGAAATTAGTTACGTAATTTCTACGATTGGTTTATTTTCTCTATGAAATCAAACAAAATCGTTAAAATGAATTTTAAATAAAACTAAAAATCAACAAATTAGTTTTTTCTAGACTTTATTTATTTATTTTATTTATTTTTTGAAAATGTGAAACTCAGTAAAATTTAGTGAATACAATATATTAATTAATAGAAAACTAATTTTGTTTTAAAATTTCTTTTTTTTTTTTTTTTTTTGATAGTTTTAAAAAAAACATTTTTAGGTGTCAACATTAAAAATTTTTGGAATAGAAATTTTTTTTTGCAAATTTAATTAAAGAGTAAGTAATTATCAATTTAAATTGTTTTATATAAAATAACCGTTATTGAAAGAAAAAAAAAAACGAATTTATTTTTTTAGTAAATTGGTATTTTTAAAAAAAAATATGAACGTTTGTGAATATATTATATGATCGGAATGAATTCAACATTGGCAAATGTAAAAAATTTTTTAAATAAATTAGAATCGAAACAAATAAATATTGAAGTTGATTTGTGGAAATTACAAAAACGTATAAAAAATTTAAGAAAATCAATCAATAGTGCTAAAGATTTAAGAAATGATTATAGAATAATGACGCGGAGTAAAACGGAGCCTAAAAGAAATAATTTTAATTCGAAAACAAAAAAATTAAAAGGAAATAAAGTAAAATATAAGAAATCATTAAATAGCACGTCCAATAGTTCAAAATATTTTGATAAAAATGATGGAAAACTTAAAGAGGTAATCAAAAAATTTTTCATAATTCATGTTTCAAATCAATTAATACAAAAAAAAATGTTTTTTTTTTAGCATTTTTTAAATAAAAAACCAACATTTAATTCAAAGGAAAGTGAAAAACATAAAAAACACAAGGGAGGAGATTATAAAAAAAATTATTATGATTATAAAAATCGAAGGAAAAAGGATACTAAAAGTAAACAAATTAAAATGGAGGAAACTCCATATTGTGAATCCATGCTTAGTAATTTTGATAGGAAATCATTTTTAAGTAAAAAAACAAATCCATCGAGGAATTCATATGATTTTCATTTAGTTAACGACGAACTCTTACAAAGATATTTAAGGGATATAATAAAATATAAAAGGAAAAATTTTATTCAACAAAAAAATGAAAATTTTAATAAAAATCAAAATGATAATATGATAAAATCTAAATGCAAGACTTGTCAATATGTAGGCAATAGTTTTAAAAATAAAAAAAGAAATTCTAGAAAATGTGACTCCACGTTTTCTGATTATAATGAACCGTTAAAAAAAAAATATCTTAAAAAATAAAATTTTTTTATACATAAGTAAAAATTCAAAATATCGAAATAATAATAATAATAATTATTTATATAACGATATGTCAAAATTTTTATTATACAAAAATGTAAATAAATGATTATAATTGATACCAAAGTTTTATTTATCTATGTACATATAATTATAAAATGTTAATAATTTTATGATTTTGATTGCTTTTATAATTTATGTAAAATTTTAATTAAAAAAAAAAAAAAATCATATTAATGGCTGCTGCATTTCCTTTAAGTATAGGGTTGTTCGCTTCATTTTTTTTTCTACATTAATTTTTTTATTATTTATTAATTAATAAATAATTATGTAATTAAAATAATTACGTGACTTATACCTTAATTTTCCTAAATAGGTAATAATAAATTAATATATATAATTATTGAATTCGACGTGTCATTTCACTTATCGTTGAGATTATTCACTACGAAAGTCTAATTTCAAAATGGCCGACGACACCATGTTTGTTGTGTTGAAAGAGAAATCAAGTTTTAAAACATTTAATTATAATAATATTGACAAAAGTAGAAAGAATTCTATTTAAAAATGTGATTATTTAAAAAATTTCTATAATTTTATTTTAATTTGTATTTATTTATACTATTATTTATTTTCTTAAAGTATTAATAAAACGTTTATTTAATTGAAATGAAGGAGGAATTAAGTTTAAAATGAAAGGTAAACATTTAGTAAATTATTTTTTTAAGATTATACAAAAAATGTACAATTTATTTAATTATTATTAATATTATTCACATTTATTTAAATTTTTATTTTATCACTTAATTATTATTATTATTACAAAGGATTTTTCATGATTTAGGTCGTTGGTTATAAAAATCTAGGTTAATGGTAAAAACGTTTTTTAATTCTCCTTATTTTAATTATATAAATAATAAAATCATTTATTTTTAATATTTTATTACTTTTATTTAGTTATTTATTTATTTTATTTATTTTTTTTTTTTTAGAAATGGAAGATAAAAATGTTGAAGTGAGTCAAGTAGTTAAAAGTATTAAATCGATAACTGTTAAAGAAGATACTGTTAGTGCAACTCATGCTTTAGGTCTTCAAGATTTATACAATGCAGCTTTCAGTCAAGAACCTGATGCTAATACGAACGAAATAAATATTATAGATAAGGGAAATGTTAAAATTTTAAATGGAAATGATAAAGTAATAGAAAATAATGAAACATATAAAAATTCTAGTTTTGACGATGGTTATCAATTGTATTCATTAAAAACATTAGAATACTCTATAGATTTTGTTAAGCCAGATGAACAATCTGTAGGTTTAAATAGTTTAAATAGTTTCGAAGATTCTAAAAATGAGGGAAAAGAAGTTTTTGTAAGCTCTGCATTAAGTCACCCCTATGAGACGTTTCAAAATGTACCAAATTCTGTTTTAGATTTAGATAAAGGAATACAAATTCATCTTGTTAAGACTGAAGACATACAAACTGAATCGCCTAATTCATCTGGCAATGACATACCTTTACTTACATATAATTACGAAAACTGTGGGTATTCTGGAGATGTTCAAATCTTACAAAAATACCTTTGTGATTCTGCTAATATTTCAAATTCTGGAGCAGCAGAAAATATTACAATTAATTTTTTAAATAAACAAAACAATAATATTCCAGAGAAAAATTTCGATAATGAAAGCGTTGGAGTTAATCCTGAAACACTTGGTGTACGATTTGAAGATTGTGATTTTAATTCATCAGATAGTTTTGCTTCAACTGAATCGATCATACCCAAAAACATAAACTGTCCGAAATGTCCAAAAAAATTTATGTTTAAATCGGACTTGTTAAGGCATGATAAATATAAACATTCGTCAAAACCGAAACTATTCTGTAAATACTGCAACAAAGAATTTGTCAGCCAACAAAATTTACTTTTTCATGAGAAATCTCACAAGAAAAAAAGAAATTCGTTAAAATGTGAAATATGTAAAAAGGTATTTAAAAAGTCTGCTGTTCTTATAAAACACATGGAAAAAAAACATTCCAAAAACACATCATTATTTTTTTGTACCGATTGCAATAAAAATTTTTCAACTCAAAATCTTTTGAACAATCATATAAAAAAAATTCACACTTCTGACAGTGAAAAACCTTATAAATGTGATATTTGCCTTAAAAGGTTTGAAAAAAAGCAAGGATTGAGTTGTCATGTTAAAGCGCACACAGATGAACAACAACTTTATGTTTGTCAACATTGCAATAAATCATTTAGTAAAATTTGTTATTTGAAAAATCATTTAAAATCTCATCAGGAAGATAAGGATAGTTTCTTATGTGACATTTGTGGAAAAGATTATAAATCTTTGACAGCTTTGGAAGAACACAGCAGAAAGCATACTGGAGAAAAACCATTCACTTGCAATGTTTGCATGAAAAGTTTCGCTTATAAAGCATATTTCAGTAAGTTAAACATTCTGTTAATTTTAATATATTTTGTTTTGTATAGTCGATTTGTTTTTGAAAAAAGCCTAAACAATATTTAATCCATTATCTATATCAATAATTAAAATATTCTTTATCATTTACTTTACTCGATTGATTTAATATAATTAGGTCGATGACAATTTGAAACATCAAAGATAAAAATGAAGGGGGGAAAAGAAAGAAAAGAACTTGTTGAAATGTTAATTATTGTAGTAAAATACAACCGGAAATATATTATTTTCAGAAATTCACATTAAGAAACATGCAGCGACAAA